AAAAAGCAAATGCACAACTGAGATATATAATCCATCAAAGTAGTAAGCCATGCTTCAAGTGCTACACATAACTCTTGGAAGTGGGGGATGCTGACTCACGTGGCTCATCCATTTTACTCCTTAGATGAGAAAATTAAGATCATAAATAGTATGTGTTAAGTCAGACATGTTAGCTCATGTCTTATGTATTCCCAGCACTTTGGAAAGCTGAAGCAGAAGGATGACCATGAGTTCAAGACTAGCTTTAGCTACACAGTGAATGACAAATCAGCCTGGACTACAAAAGGAGATCCTATCTTAGGAAGCCAAAAATAGAAAGAAATGGTGTGCATTGCTCTATATTTTACATATCTACAGTCATGAATTTAGTGCTGGATACTGGCATACCAAATATTGTTATCACTGGTTTCTTTATGTATACAAAAATATAGTAACATAGGGTTTGAGGTGATTGACAACATTCTTTCTACTTTTAATAAATGATATTTAGAGACCTGAGCCAGCAATCTCTGTTGGAACAGGCCTGAGTCAACGACCTCTACTGGAGCAGGTACGAGGGAGCAACCTCCGAGGGAGCAGGCCCCACCTCGCAAGTGACCTCCACGAGACCAGACCCAGGCCAGAAACTCTGCAGGAGGAGGCCTGAGCCAGGGATATCTGTGGGAGCAGGCCCAAGGCAGCTACCTCCACAGGAGCAGTCCCAAGCCAACCACCTCCATCGGATCAGGCTTGAACAAGTAGTCTCTGCTGGAGCAGGCCCGAGACAGCAACCTCCATAGGAGCAGGCCTGACTGACTTTCAAGTTTACAGAGTGACCTCAGGGAGCACCGAGCAACTTCCAGGAACAAAGAGTAACCTCTGATTTGACTGGAACCGTGGTCCTGATTCCACCACAAGGAACAACTATCAGAGCCTTGGTTCCACTGGCACCTTGAAGATCACCAGAGACACAACCCAAACTACACCAATCCGAGGAAAAGATGGGTAGGCAAGGTCATTACACACTTAACACCACAAAGAGCAACATGACACCAACAAAAAGTAGTGACTCCAAAACAGCAAGACTTGAACACCCCAATATATATCAAGCAGGAAAAAAAATAACCTAAAAATAACTTATGGAGAATGTTTGAGGCCCTTAAAGAAAACAAAGAAAAAGCAATCAAACAGATGAAAGAAATGATTTAAGACTTGAAAACCAAAGTAAAAACAGTAAAGAAAACACAAACTGAGGGAATTCTGGAAATGAAAAGTATGAAAAAACAATCAGAAACCACATACATAAGCATGGAAGAGAGAATATCAAGCATTGAAATTATGATAGAGAAATTAGACTTGTCAGTCAAAGAAAATATTAAATCTAACAGAAGCATAACACAAAATATCCAGGAAATATGGAACAACATGATAAAACCAAAATTAAATATTATAGGAATAGAAGGAGAAGTCCAACTCAAAGGAACAGAAAATATATTCAACAAAGTCATAAAAGAAAACTTTCCCAACCTAAAGAAAGATATGAATATGAAGATACAAGAAGCTTACAAAACACTAATTAGACTGGACCAAAAGAAAAGTCACCATGCCACGTAATAATCAAAACACTAAGCATACAGAGTAAAGAAAGAATATTAAGAGCTGCAAAGGAAAAGGCCCAGTAACATATAAAGGCAGACCTATCAGAATTACACCTGACTTCTCAATGGAGACAGTGAAAACCAGAAGGTCATGGTGAGGCGTTATACAGACATTAAGAGACCCTAGATGCCTGCCCAGATTAGTATACCCAGCAAAACTTTCAATCATCATAGAAGGACAAAACAAAATATTCAATGACAGAAGCAGATTTAATCAATACCTAGCCACAAATTCAGCCCCATACAAAGTACTAGAAGGAAAACTCTAACCCAAAGAAGTTGGCTACATCTACAAAATCACAGACAATAGATGATCTCACAGCAACAAATACCAAAGAAGGAAAAAACACACACAATAACACACACGAAAACTAAAATAACAGGAACTAGCAATCATTGTCATTAATATCCCTTAATATAAATGGACTCAACTCACCTATAAAAAGGCATAGGCTATCAGATTGGACATTAAAACAGAATCCATCTTTCTGCTGCACTCAAGAAACATACTTCAACCTCAAAGACAGACATCACCTCAGAGTAAAGGATTGGGAAAAAATTTTCCAATCAAATGGACCTAAGGAACAAGTGGTATAGCTATCCTAATATCTAACAAAATAGACTTCAAACTAAAATCAATCAAAAGAGACAAAGAAGAACATTTCATATTAGTCACAGGAAAAATTCATCAAGAGGAAATCTCAATACTGAACATCTCTATGCCCCCAAAACAAGGGCACCCTCATATGTAAAAGAAACACTTCTAAAGCTTAAGATCTTCACCAACCCCACAATGGACAGATGACTGATCCCTAAAATATACAAAGAACTCAAGAAATTGGTCATCAAAAGAACAAATAATTCAATAAAAAAATGGGGTACAGACCTAAACAGAAAACTTTCAGCAGATTAATTTAAAATGGCTAAAAGACACTGAAGGAAATGCGCAACATTCTCTGCCATCGGAGAAATGCAAACCAAAATAACTCAGAGATTCCATCTTACACCTTTAAGAATGGCCAAGATCAAAAACACTGATGACAACTTATGCTAGAGAGGTTGTGGGGTAAAGGAAATACTTCTGCATTGCTGGTGGGAGAACAAACTTGAATGGCCACTTTGGAAATCTGTATTGTATTTTCTCAGAAAATTAGGAAACAACCTACCTCAAGACCCAGCAATACTACTTTTGAGTATATACCACAAGGACATGTGCTCAACTATGCTCATAGCAGCATTATTTGTCATAGGCAGAACCTGAAAACAACCTAAATGCCCCTTGACCAAAGAATAGATAAAGAAGATGTAGTACATTTACACAATGGAGATATCTTGAAATTTGTGGGCAAATGGATGGATCTAAGAAACATCATATTGAGTGAGGTAACTCAGACCCAGAAAGAGAAATATAAGATGTACTCACGCATAAGTGGCTTTTAGACATAAAGCAAAGAAAAACCAGCCTACAATTCACAATCCCAAAGAACCTACACTACAAAGAGGACCCTAAGAGAGATGTACATGGATCTAATCTACATGGGAAGTAGAAAAAGACAAGATTTTCTGAATAAATTGGCAGCATGGGGGTCATGGGAGAGGGCAGGAAGAGAAGAGAAGGAAGGGAAGACACTGAAGAAAAATATATAGCTCAATAAAAATAATGAAAAAGATGAAAAATAAAAATAAAAAGATTTCCTGTATTAAAAAACAAAACAAAAAAGATATCTATTTAATTTGTAACAATTTGTGTCAGGTCTCAAAATCAGATATGATTCCAGTTGGACTTGATCACTCTTTTATCAAAGTGATATAAAATCGATAGAAACTAAATGTTCACTGTGGTAATACATAAACAGTACTTTCAATAAATTGTGTCTTTATTGTGAAGTCTGTCTATTTCAAACTTAATATTTAGAAATAGTAATGGCAGCTTTGTAAGCGTGTGAAGGTCTTGAGACAAGAAGATACAGAGTTGATGACTTGGACCATCCGTAAGGGAGAGAAGAAGGACCTTGAGAATGCCTCCTTTTCTTGTGGACGAATGTCTCTCAACAAAGACTCTAAAACCAGACCACAGATCTATCTGTAAATGAAAGAAACAAAGAAACAAATGAGCACCCATGCAGCACTGGATCCATTCCTGAAGCCTTCAGATAGGAGAATTTAGTGAGGTCTCATGGGCCAGCCTGTGACTGAGTGCATCACCTCCTTCCCCCCCGCCCCCAAGCCGCCTCACCTTCCGGTTACAGAGATACTTGAGTGCCCTACTTGCAGTAATTTTCATGCTCGGTACCTTCCAGACTTTTAAAAATACTCCCAGAGCGGCTTGGCCCTGATCCTCCCCTGGCTACCTCTGAGAGTTGGTGCAGTTAGCCCCGCTTGCAGAAATTCAGGGATTCCTGGCTAAAATCCTTTGGAGAGCATGGATTGCTTCATTGAGCATTCCACCACCATTTCCTACCTACTTTTCGCGCTGTCAAATGGGGGTAGTTTCCTTGTTGGACTGTAATATATATGCGAATGGGAGCAGTGCCTGGGAAAGTGCCTGACATATGTTCTCTTCTCTGTAAAGGGGGTATCATCAGTGTTAGGTTAATTAGCCATGTCTGATTGCCCTGACCAGCAGAATAGTTTCCATGAAAAGCAAAGCTGGGCAGACGGAGCATGGCTGCCGCACGTTGGAAAGCTTAGACCACATCAAAGGCTTTGCTTCCAGCCTTCTCTCCAGTAATCTGAAGAGACACAGATCCTCTATCTACTGTTGTTTTAAAGGTCATCTTGAATTGATTCTGCCCCGTATCATATAAGCATATCTATTTGTTAACCTGGATGCTTGTATCAGAATGGCTGGCATTTGGCAGGACACTTGCTTCAGTAATTTTATATTTCAGGCAAGAAAATAGAAATTCTTAGAGGAAAGGTAATTTTAGTAACTAGAGAATTTAATAGCAGCTCTATTTTAATTCTCCCAGTTATTTGGTATTAATTTCCTATAAATGCATCCATATGTGCAGTGCTGTACAAAGATTCTATGAATAAGTGTTGGCAACTATTTGATAAACTGTCTTCTCTAATTTTCTACTTCTGGACTTACTTTCGTCCATTCTGAAATAATCAGTACTTTGCTTACAGTCAAAATATTTTCAGTCAACAATACTTAGGCTATCTAGAGAAAAGGTCAGTGAGGAGTAACAGATACTGGAAGGATGCATCTGAGTTTGGTTTGTTTATTTCAGCAGGTAATTTAAGTTGTTTTTCTGGTCAGGAATCAATTGAAGTATATAAAACGTGCCATAAACCTGAGGTCCTATTTAGTGGATTTGTTCTTTGGTCTGATTTCTGTGTTTTTGCTTGTGTTTCTAGGCTCAGCTATGTAAATCATGCCGAAGATTTGGCTTCCAAGCTTCTACAGTGTTCCCCAAAGAACAGGCTATCTGCACAGGCTGCCTTGAGCCACGAATATTTCAGCGATCTGCCCCCGCGGCTATGGGAGCTGACTGATAGTGAGTAGGGCCCATCTGCAAAGTCCAATCAGAGCACTTTGTCCTCAATATGTAGATTGCATATAGACAGATAGCCTCATTCATGTGTACATGAGCATAAGGTTATGTATAGATGTGTTTGCGTTATGAGAGTGTGTGTATGTGTTATGAGAGAGCATGTGCGTGTGTGTGTGTGTGTGTGTGTGTGTGTGTGTGTGTGAGAGAGAGAGAGAGAGAGAGAGAGAGAGAGAGAGAGAGAGAGAGAGATGTCATTGCTCAAGCCAGAAGGGGGATCATGTGTATATATATTTACTGGAGTCCTGCCATTCAATTGCTAGCTTACCAGACACAAAAAGAAAATGGATTCATTTTTTGCTATCTCTGCTCTGCAGTCTGCAGCTGCACGTCTTTGTATTTGATTATGTGTGTGTCCAAAAAATGATCTGAGCAGTCATAAAGGCAAAGGAAAATATGATTTACATATTTAGTGCTTTCTGCACACAGTGCTGTTTTAACTGGCTGCAGTACACAGGAAAAATGATTCATTTCTGTGTGATTTTCAGAGACCATCTTGGTTGTAACAATAACCTTAAAGGGCACCGTGAGGCAGGGAGCTGAGCGCAGAGCTGGCAGTTGGCTGATGCACTGAGCTGGCATGTAAGAACTGAAGACATGTAATTCATTTTAACTGCACATGCTCTTGGTATTTGTACAGACAGCTCTTCTCTAGATCTTTTTAAAACAAAACACATTCCTGGGTGGGTTTTTGTTTTGTTTTTACAGAAGTGCTCATATTTGCACAGACTTTTTCAATTACATTTAAAGTATTTGGGGGAAGGATTTATGGCTGGGCGGATCTCAGCTTTCTTCCCAAGTGTGAAACAGAATTCTTGTGAAATTTTAAAATACACTGTGGCCGCAGTAGGAATATTTTTATTCAGTGATGATATGTTCTTTCCAAAAGACCCATTAGAGATATTTCTTAACATATTTTCCTGATTGCCTTAAAAAATAGCACACTACATAGATGTGTAAATATTTGTAATACATTTATTAGTTCTTGTACATACGTCACTTAAAGTAGATGTGATTTTACTGCCTTTGTCTCTAAGATTTTTGACTACCCCTGCAGTATTGGATTGGATTTTCCATAGCAACTGTCACAATCACCCTTTATTTTGGCACCAAATCCTATGTAACAACTCCCTTGAGCCTTCTCAAGCTAAATTAAATAGATAGATAGATAGATAGATAGATAGATAGATAGATAGATAGATAGATAGATAGATGATAGATAGATAGATGATAGATAGATAGATAGATAGATAGATAGATGATAGATAGATAGATGATAGATAGATAGATAGATAGATGATGATAGAGATGATAGAGAATTTATATAGAGATGATATATAGATATATAAATAGATAGATAGAAAGGTGGATAGAGATAGATAGATAGATAGATAGATAGATAGATAGATGATAGATAGATAGATAGATAGATAGATAGATAGATAGATAGATAGATGGATAGATAGGTAGATAGGTAGATAGATAGATAAATAGATATCTCACACTTATTTCTATCCATTTTCTTGTAGCCCTAAGGTAGCTGTAAATGTATTGATCTAATTCTCTCCTTATGCTTACAAATCTTTAACATCTCAATTGTTCCCAGCCTATATTTCCTTTATCATCCATACTAGTTCTTTTCCAAAGATCTACCATCTATTATTGCAGTGATCCCAACCTTTTAAAGAAAATTCAAGATTAAAGCCTATGAAAAAAACAAAACAAAATAATGAATTGATCATGCATATTTTTATACTGGCAAAAGCAGAAGGTACAAATGGGATCATTAGTGTATGGCTTCCTGAACTTCAGAACTGAGGATTGTTTTCCCCATGCAGCATGGCTTCCACCTTGATCTCACCCCTCCTTAGCGACATCTCAATCCCAGTCAACCTGATGATGGGGTTTAAGTCAAATTTTGAGGGTCTGCGAATTTTGAATTCTGTAGTAGTACTTTCCTGTTAATATGGACTTATTACCCCCTTGCCACTTAGTTTATCAGCCAGTGGTTAAATCCAGTTTCTGTAAGGGAGTAAATGCCTCCACATTATCACTGAGCAGCAGACTGCCAACCGAGACAGCCTTGCCCCCGTCATTAACAAGTGCAATGTATGCAGAACACCAGAGGGGAATTAAAACCACAAAAAATACCTCAGGGTGGTATTTTTAATATGAGAATTTAATTTGTAATTTCACAGATTAAGAATTTTGGCTGCATTAATCCCTTTATCAGCTCACAGCAGGCTATTTGCAGAAGCATAACCATAAGGCGATATTCATTGGCAGAAACACGTCCCTGCATAACGTTAAACATCACGAGCAGTGAAACCTTTTGAAGGGGGGAGAATAAAGATGGAAAATCATTATATTTTTAAAGTGAGATTCTACTAAATGCCTCCGGTAACAATTTTGAGTTACAGAAATGCTATTTCTGCGTCTAGAAGATAATCATTATGAAGGATAAATCCATTCGCAAGAAAGGACAATCCCAGTATTAAATACTATAGTCATTTCCATTTAGAACAACGTGGCTGCCCTTGTAAACATGTTTGCAAAACAAAGAATCCCCAGACTTATGTGACTTTGGGAATTAGGCTGTTTGACTCTTGTGTGAGTTAGTATTTAGCTGACTGCACTCAGAAATTTTCAGAGTCTTCCAATCCAACTTCAGATTTGTGTAGATTTTTGTAAAGTTCACTGTCCGACAAATGGCAGAGTTTGTGACAGCCACAGAACCCTCAGGTCTTCCCTGTAAAGAGCATTTTGGGGGAGGATGGACCTGTCAGGAAGTGCTGCAGGACCAACAGAAGGACAAGGCCACAAGTGGTGGTGCTGATCTTCAGCCCGAGGAACCCAGCTGTCTGGGTCCGCTAACACTATCATGAGGAAAGAGCATAGGAGGGAGGCTGAGGCAGTAGGTATTTATCCTCCCAGTTCCAGGGAGAGACAGAAGATGAAGACAGAGGTGCTGCTTGATTCTGTTCCTGTCCTCACGCTGGCAGAGGCCCGCCCTGCTTGGTTCTGATAGGGAGAGGAACATTTCTCTGCTCTTCCGTGAGGACCACTCCCTTCCTAATACCGTCTAAGCTTCATTACCTCCCAAAGGTCCCATCCCCAGATACCAACACTTTGGGGCTGGGGCCACTAACCTCAGCTTGAAAGGGGGCACAAGTCATTCCACAAAGCTCTTAGTCTCCGATGACTCGTAGCACTTTATAGAAGAATGCCCACAAAACAGCAACAACAAAACAACTTAAGGCAGAACCTGAAACCAAGTTAAAAGGAGAATATTGGTCTCCAGCTTTGACATGCTTTGATTAATCAGACCCCATGAGTGTATGGCCCACATAGGCGTAAGAATCAATGGAATTGGTGGAGCTGTTTGGGCCTCACAGGGAAGTGCCTACCAGGGACCAGATAATATGGTTGATCTGGATTCACCAGGAACAGGGCTAGGAAGTGTGGAAGTGAAAGTGTGTTGTGGATGGCCCAGGCCTGATGGCGGTGTGAGAAAACTCAGCTGACTTCTCAAAATGGTCACTGAAGCACATTAGAACATTTGTTGTAGCTATGTAATAAAATTTAGAAGTGAAGTATTAGTGTCACCAAAGGAAATAAAATAAATACATCAAGTGAAAGAAACTGAACAAGCTGGCCAAGGATGGTGACAGGGACATTCTCTTCCTGTCCCCAAACCCCAACAGCCTTGCTCTACTTCTTCACAAAGATTTAATTGCAGGGCAATAAATAGAGGGTTGATTTAGAAGAAATTCATTCCTTTCCCCAAGCACACCACAGCGCATTCTCCTGTGTATACTGCCAAGTTACATAAATAATTGAAGCTGAACTATGCTTGTCAAAGTAAATGAACAAAATAGACTTCACAGCACAGAGTCCTTGATTTTATTACATTCATTTGCTAATTCATAAAACTCAACTCTCCTAAAAGAAGGCCAGCAAATTGGTCCGGTGTGGAGATCACTGAGCAGGAACTCAGCTCCACAGGTCTTGGTCAGGCAACTGTGGCCATGGGCCTTCATCCCTCTGTGCTTTCCACTTCTCATTCAGCGAGCGAGTTGAATAAGGCATGGTAGTCTTGAGGGACCCTCCCAGATCTAATGTTTGCAGCTTTACCCACATGGTCCTCTATAACACCTTAACACCCTGATGCAATCATGTAGTGTTTTCTTCTTTCATTAATTAATACTTTATCTTGAGACAGGGTTTCACTATATGGACTAGCCTGACCTTGCACTCACAGAGCTCCTTGCCTGCATCTGCCTTCCAGTGCTGGGATTAAGCTCTTGCGTCACTGTGCTGGCCCACTCGTGCACTTACTTTAAACGGCTTTGCTGTTTCCTTTTCCCGTTGTGTCTGACTGTTTCCACCCAGGCAGCAACAGCTCTTACAGTGCCGTTTCAACACCTCTGTCTTTGCGGGGTTCCCCGGCTTTCACATTGATCTGTCAGTGGAATTTCACACAGTATCTGCCACTTCTTTCTGCTGACACTTGGTTTCCTGGACAGGATTCTTTCACGGTTTCCTTTTCATCTCCCACTCCAGGCCGGCAAGCTGAGGTCCACGGTTAGTGTTCCAGTGTGTCCTCCTTAGACCTTCCTGTCTGGCTCACTCCCTAGAGTTGGGTAATTCCGCCCAGTCTCGAGAGTTAGATATCATCCAAACACTGACGGCCCCTGAAGTCCCATTTCCAGTCCTCGCTCTCCTGACTCTCAGAGTAGGTACTGAAAAGTTAGGATTACTAGACTCAGACTCATAAGCTTTCCACTCCTTCTTGCTCCTTCTGAATTCCTGCTATTGAGAATAAATGGCAACACCATCTTTCTGGGTGATGAGGTGATTGTTGTTTCCTCTGCTCCTGTCACACCAGCCCCCATTTCACCTTGCCGCTTCCCCTCCTGAATGTTCACAAGAGCAGCCTCGCTGCATAGACTACTTCCCCTGCCTCCCTAAAGTCAGCTCTGGCTTCACCTCTTTCCATGTTTTTGTGCTTGTTTTCCTTTCAGGTTTGCCTGCCCTCTCGCCTTCACATGACTGTGTAAAAGGAGCAGCGGGCTGCGTTCCCGCCTGAATCCCGGCTAGCTTACCCCCAAAATAATTACATGGAAACTGTAATTGTTTTAAACACTGCCTGGCCCGTTATATTTAGCCTCTTATTGGCTAACTCTTACATATTAATTCAACCCATTTCTAATAATCTGTATGTCACCACGAGCTCGTGGCTTACCAGGAAAGATTCAGCATGTCTGACTTGGCAGCTTCATCGTGGCGGCTCTCTGACTCTGCTTCTTTCTCCCAGCATTCTGTTCTGTCTACTCCGCCTATCTAAGCTGCTGTCCTATCAAAGGCCAAGGCAGTTTTTTTTTATTAACCAATGAAACTAACACATAGACAGGTGACCCTCCTACATCATTTTCCCTTTTTCTGTTTAAACAAAAAAGAAAGGCTTTCACTTTAACATAGTAAAATTACATATAGCAAAACAGTTATAAAGCAAGAATTACAGTTACAATATTTATATCTATTTTATCTTTTATCATAACTAAGGAAAACTATAACTATCTCTACTTCAACTCCATCAAAGACTCCAGAAGGATATAATATTACCTGAGTAGACAAGAAGTAAGCAAGTTGCAAAACTCTAGAAATGACAGAGACATCTCACTGCCTAGACAGTCACTAAAAGTTCCTCTGTACCGTTGGGGCATCCATCTTCAGCCTTCAGGCCCATGGTACCCAACAGACTTTTCCACGAAGCAGGAAATTTCAAAGGCAGTTCAGTCTCTATCTGCTGTGTCCTGTAGAATGTCTCGCAGACTCTTTCATGAATCAGGAACCCAGAAAGACCATCTCACCTTTAGGCAAGTTCAGCAGTCCTCTCTCTGCAGGTTCTTTATGTCCAGTTTATGCATCAGTTCAAGCAAGAGCAGTTTCTTGCCCAGATGGCTATCAAACTCCATAAGGAGCCTCGTCAATGCCCATCTTCCTCTTGAAGTAGCTGGTGCTGCCAGGAGCAGACATGTCTCATTGTCATGAAAAGCCCTAAGTTATTAAAACATTAAATGCCATATTCTGTAGTCTTTGAAAGATATGAAGAATGCCTATCTAAAATATATCTATGCACATCTAGAAAATCTAACATGACTACAAGCTTGACTGTTATCAATGATTATCCATTCACAACCTATATTTCCTAATTATATATTACATTTTAAAATGAACTACACAATCACAATACCTTAATCAAGATCAGAAATACCTATACATATAACAAAATTGACCTTAAAATCCATACCAATGCAAATTATTCATATCTATATCATATCCCCCTTTAAATGTAAAAAAACATTTATAAACAATATCTGGGAATATAGATGTAGTTATTTCTCTCCAAACTTTTTCCTGCTGTATAGGGGCATTGTTAATCAGATCATTCATGGTATAACCTGTGTGCGAGGTTCATCTCAGTCAGCAGTTGAGTGAAGTAATTTTTTGAGGGTGTTTACAGCAACCTTTCAGGAGGGCATGGTCTATCATACCATATTGGGTTAGAAGCAATCCACAGGGTCTCATCCTCCATGAAAATAAAAGAAGACCCTCTCCAAAACATCATATCCTTAGACCCAAATTTGGAAGTCATGATACCTTTAGAACATATATGTTGGATCAGCATAGCAACCCATACAATGAAATGTCTCTTTGTATTTAGCTCCTTCACAGTCAAAAATTTTAAAGAAGACACAATGTACATAATCCAGACTCTCTGTGAATTTTCCATTTTTACATGGCTTATTTTTCTTTATTTCTTTTAATCTGTACTCTGTCTCTTTAAAGACTTTACCCTTTTTTTTAAAAGGCATTAATTTTATTCTCTATATTCTTTTTCTTCTCTCTCCCAAGCCTACATACAGTCATTCAACACTATGACCCATTTTTATGTCTGAATCTGTCCTATTGTGAATCTGTAATTTTTTACTGTCCAGAAACGTTTTTTGCTTTACACTTTTAAATCACTAAGCACTTAAGAATCTAAACTGTGACATTCCTAGGTCAAAAGCAAGTACTGCCTGCTTGCCCCGCCCAGTCCAACATGGTGGAGCCGCTCGTGCCTCTGAGCCTTGCACACTGCACTGTTAGCATGGCAGAGCTGCTTGTGCCTCTGAGCCTCAGCATGTAATGACCCCCTTTTAGGCACACAGCAAGTCTAGTTGCCACCAAACAAATCGTAGCACTTTAGTCCAAATGTTCCATTCAAAAGCTCTGTTTCCCACAGGAGCCAGACAGAGATTGCAATAGAGGCACACCCCGGAAACTGGTCTTTCAAAACCGCCACTTTCTAGTAGACCTGATTCTGCTGCCTACTCAGGCAGGAAGAGCCAAGCCATGGGCATGGTCTCAGCTACTTTGTTCCTGACCCCAAGTGGGCACACAAATGTCCGGGTCCAGAAATGTTCCATAGCTGGAGTTTGCACCGGCAGCAGGGCCCATGAAGCTGTGTTTGAAAATGGTGCAGCTTTTTTTTTTCTGCTGCTGTTGCTGAATCAGGAAATCTCTCTACAGCATGCCCCAGCAAACAGCAAAAAGTTGTGTTAATCTCTATATTTGTGTCTAGAATTTCTTTTTAAGCCCTCTTAGGTTTTACCCACATTGGGCAGCCATCTGTAAAAGGATCAGTGGGCTGTGTTCCCGCCTGAATCCCGGCTAGCTTACCCCTGAAATAATTACACGGAAACTGTATTCTTTTAAACACTGCCTGGCCTATTATATCTAACCTCTTATTTTCTAAATCTTACATATTGATTCAACCCATTTCTAGTAATCTGTATGTCACCACGAGCTCATGGCTTACCAGGAAAGATTCAGCATGTCTGACCTGGTAGCTTCATGGCAGTGGCTCTCTGACTCTGCTTCTTTCTTCCAGCGTTCTGTTCTGTCTACTCCACCTATCTAAGCTGCTGTTTTACCAAAGGCCAAGGCAGTTTCTTTATTAACCAATGAAAGTAACACATAGACAGATGACCCTCCTACATTACGGCTGCTCAAACATCCCTTCTCTATCAAGGACAGCTTTGACTGTCTCTCCAACCTCTATTTTTTTCTTCCCTACTTTCCTTCTTCATAACACTTACCATTATTTATTTGATGTATTTAGTTGTTTATTTTGTCCCCCTCCCAGTCAGAAGGTCCCAAGGCAAACCAGCATTTACTTCTCCTCTGATTTGTTTGCTGTAGGATTCTGCGATTCCCAGGAAATGTTAGAGTAAAAGTCTACTTCTGTCATGAGTGGCTGAAAGAATGGCAAAGGCTTGTCTCCATATCCAGGTTTATTGTTCTAAGATCATAGAAACAGGATCTGTGGCTCTGCGTCATGCAAGTGTATATGCGTGTACGTGTGTACATGTGGAAATATTTATAGGTGTGTGTGTGCTTTTGACCACTGGCCTTTCAAACGCCAACACATACCACAGTGCACCCAATGCTGGGAATCCAGACTGCATTGCAATCTCCGTTGTCTTTTAGATGAAATGTTGTCAGTGTGTGTATAGCTATATAAATGGGACCTTTCCGTTCTCTCCTCAGTGTCTTCTATTTTTACGGTCCCGAATGTGAGATTGCAGCCGGAAGCTGGAGACAGTATGAGGGCCTTTGGGAAAAACAATAGTTATGGCAAAGGTCTATCGAGCAGCAAGCACTGACAAGCCCGGCATTCTCAGGAGAGCACAGGTAAGAGACCCTGTTTTACAGGAAAGTAATATTCATAATAGACACGGAATAAACTTATTTACTGAAGTCTTTCAGCCTCATTTCCCCCGGAAACTGTCTAAGGAGTTCCATGGCTATTCTGGCATTCATCAAACGTTTGACTGAGGTAGAGACCAATCAGGAGTGTCAGTGTTTTCAGGCACCACCTAGGTTGTGTGCCAAGTTCTGCTGCATCATGTGCATTAGTGATGTGGTCTCATGCAAACCATTGAGTCACGAGTGTCTATTTTAACTGATGTTAGGGAAGTTCCACTTTGAGCTGCACCTAAAGCATGAAGCTGTTTTGTTTGACCAATAAAATTTGTTTTTTAGTTATTTACTGTCATTTTAAAATGAGGATATTTCATATGGAGGTCTCGATTTCTTTCGTTCCATGAAGCGTCGGCAACTCTGACAATACTCCTTCTATCCCATCATAAAGTTTTATGTGTGATAAAGAGAAGCCCTGTCCCCGTTTTAAAATAAGCTGGCCACTGGGCCCTCATTGCTTTCCGATTCCTGTCTGGCCCCTGCCACAGACCTATCATAGTAAAACTTTGGTTTTCACAGTTTAGTTCTTTGACCTCTACTGTTTTGCAGGTAGGAACTGTAAACTAGATTGGTGATATCCAGGCATGTCAGCCTACCAAGTCATCACACATGCCCAGTGGTGAGCGGAAGACAGCAGTATCTGGAAGGTTGTGTCTTTCTGGGTTACCAGAGAGCAATGTCTGGGCTTTGTAACATCTCCCTCTGTTTGTTCGTGTGTTTGTCATTTCAAGTAAGGGCTTCTGTGTAGCTCTGGCTGTCCTGGAACTCCCCCTGTAGACCAGGCTGGCCGCAGACTCAGAGATCTATCTTCCTCTGCCTCTTGAGTATTGCAATTAAAGGCATGTGTCACCACTGGCCACATCTCGGTCTTCAGCAAATGGAGAATGAGCTTTCCTCGTGAGGAAGCCTTTTTAATGTTGGTCCCTGTTAAGCATGTTCATCACTTCTGTGTTCCATAACTGCCAAGTAAAGTGAGCTGAATGATGTGTACAATAAAAACTGTGCACGCATGTGTGTCTCTGTGTGTATGTGTGTATGTAGTGGGTGGAATGGGAGTGTAGGCCGGAGATTGATGCCAAGTTCTTCCCTCAATCTCTGTTCACATTATTTTTTAAGACAAAGTCTTTCGTTGAGCCTGGAACTCTTTGATTCAGGTAGACTAGCTGTCCAGCAAGCCTTAGAATCCTTCTGTCTCTGCCTCCCTAGCATTAAGATTACAAGTATGCCATGTTTGTCTTTTTTTTTTTAAATATGTTTTGGGGAATGGCCTGATTTTCTTCTATTTGAAAATCTGGTAAGAAGCTAAGTGGACAGATGGCAAGGACTGTAAATTCAAATATATACCCAGCCCTGTGAAAGACCTGCCAAGTATCTCCGACGATTTTAGAACTTAGCTTTTCATGCTCTCAGCATGGAGTTTAATTTTGCTGGCCTAGGGATGCAGTAGAGATTTATGTTGATTTGGAAGGGGAAAAACAGATTCCTAGTTAAAATATGGCTTGTCAAGGCTGGCCAGGAGCTGCTGCTCTTAAGCCTGCAGCTCCACAGGTAGCCTCATGTTTCCAAGAGTGGTTTGATTCATGAGAGTTGTCTGTAGCATGCACATTTTAAAAGTGTTTAGCTCCCACATTGCAAACTCCTTAGCTGATTAGGTAGAAAGAGAACAGAAAGTGGGCCCCGTTTTATTGACTCATGCACACACACACACACACACACAAGCAAGTCTGTCTTTCCGCCCCAGGACCATATGGGTCCTTTCTTCTTGGCTCTTCTGAATGCTCCTGACCGATGTAGTCAAGGCTGCAATGGTGTGTTCAAGATCAACTCATCCTTGTATAAATCAAAGAGAGCTGGCTGAGCAGAGCATTGCCCGGAAAGATTCAAAACTGGCTGGTTGAAAAGATGTTTACAAAGGTGCTTGGGACTGCAGCCGCTTGTAGTGCTTCCTCACACCAGACCCGAGTTGGAGCCACAGTGGCTGATTCTCTCTACAAATGTTTGCTAACATTCCATGGACTTTCCATATGAGTGTTGGCCCTGTTACGTCAACTTTGAAGGCTTCAGTATTACTGCTACTCCAGCTATGACATCTGATATGTAGGCCACTAAAGAAAGATCTCATTTCTTTTTAGAAAAGCTGTTGGAAAACTGGATTCTGTCAATAGAAAAAGAAATCATCTTAGTGTCTTATTTTTGCAGGTATGACTACCAAATGTTTCCATGTTAGAGATCAGACAATGCAGCCTGTTTGTTGGTCCCCTGCAGCATATGGTGTGGCTTCTTTCTGACCAGTAGATGAAGTCCAAACTAGAGACATTATGAAGTTCAAGTCATGTTAATAAGTGGTTCTCAGGAAGAAAAAAAGATAAAATCCTCTAGTCTTTGATTTTCTGATTTTTAATTTTTTTGTCACATGTTTATAGCAGTCTGTGGCATATTAAATGTTGCAAGAGCATATCAAATTTTTTATACTACCCACAGTGACTGGGAAGGAGAAAGAGGGGAGGGAAGAGCCTGGGTGTTGAGGGGGCCTGAGTACAGGTTAGAGTTTTGGCCACCTCCCTCTGGTGATCAGCAGGGCTCTTAGTGTGGAATTTGCATTATGCCATGCTGTTTTTGAAATAAAAGGGACTGGGCAGGCAGGAATGCTTCAAGTCCTAATATTTCTCCAATACCTCAATGCCACTTTATTTCCTTCCTTGCAAACTAAGGTCACTTCAATTATTTAGTTAATAAAGTTGGATTTACATAAATTGGCCTTAGTGGAAAAGCTAATGAGATGCATTTTGCTGTGCAGAAGAAAGCAATTTGGGTTTTAGAGTCTTGTAGCAAAATTAACTGAAAAGAAAGCTGCAAATGCCTGGGTTAAGAGTAGGGGTAACCGCCACTGGGGATTAAAGCAGAGTCCCTACATTTTGTGACTCTCTAGAGACACCCCAGCTCTTTCAGAGCTTGTTCCCACTTGTTTGGTCACCACGAAGAGTTGACTGAAGTCTAAGGGAGTCTTAAATATACATAGAAATTTTTCTTTTATGAAGTGTACGGATAAGACATTCCTTTTACAGCGAATCAGTTGGTCTTTAGACTCCATCAATCTCAATGTAAACTTACAAAGAAAGTGTCTAATGCACGAAGTAATACTGTTTGGTCCAATTGCAGGAGGTTCACTCTGCCAGCATTGGCAGTCTCCTTCTGGTTCAGCATGTTATCGTTCTTCGTCCGCATGATTTAAGAATTACGTGGTAATGAAACAATGGTTACTCTCTCTTCGCCTACCTCAGTCAGTAAACAGTTATTTCCTAAAAGTAATCTGTCAGGTAAAGAGATTAGTGTTAATTGCTCAAGAAACTTTCATTGAATAGGATCGGGGAGGTTTATTTGGTATTTTGTTTGTTTGCCATATTCGCTTCATGACCCAGTGTGCTGGTGCCATACTCTCTGAAAATAGACATCTCACATTCCGGGATACTAAATGCTTGCAGAGTTTGCAGTTTACTTTTTAGGGCCCACGAATCTATATTTTAAGAAACTCCAAGGGTCATTAATTGGTAACTGAAAGAGAGAGAATCAATCTTCCCTGGGTTGAATTCCTTAATTGGTTACCTAATACCTGGTAGTGGTCACCCATAGACAACGTATACATAGGAGCAAACTAAATGGACTAGGTACACTGGATTTATGTACTTGTTGGGATAGTGTGTGTGTGTGTGTGTGTGTGTGTGTGTGTGTGTGTAACTATACTAACTTAAGAGGTCAAAAATTGGTAGAGCAGGGTACTGGATGGGTTGGAGAGAGAAAAGGAGAGATGAAATGGCGTAAGTACGGTACTCATGCATGACATTATTTAATTTAATATAAGAACTTGAGGGGACCACAGATAGTGAAGTCTTCACTAGATATTCAGGGGTTGTAGATTTATAAGGTAAAATAAACAACTTACTTGAATCAGGACAGGGTAAGATAAACTAGAAAAATAGCATTTTATCACATGAACCAAAATAATTTAATTGTCTTTCTATTAATCTCTCCCTTTCCCCTTTCTCCCTTTTCCAAAAGAAAGAATTGTGTCATAGAATATAATACAGTAACTGTGTGCCTATTTACAATTATTTTTAATTAAGTTCAATTCCCTTTCGGTATCTCTTCCTTGGTAGAATTTCGAGTGCTGGAGAGTTGAAACCTATGGTCACTCTACAGCGTCTCACAGTGCCCTTCTGGGCGCTACTGATGGACGACACTTCTCTTATCCATCTTTTAAAGGAGAAATCAGGAAAACTGAGCTGAATTTATTGCAATAGAGTGTGTTTTATTGCTAGATTCAGATCACTTCAGAAGAACACCCTGTTCGAGAGAGGAAAGAGACACATGGCAAAGTCAGAGGAATAGAGTCAGAGCCAGGAGACTGGGGGCAACAGGAGAGACAGCGTTTGGTGTTCTCGGGAACAGACATGAAGGGAAGCTGGCAAGGCGTCCCTCCAGGGAAGTGCCCCAGTGACTCCGTCAGTTAGCTGTGGACAAGAGGAGGGGCACAGACAACAACCTTCACAAAGACTGGACAGAAGTCAGCAGTAGCCGTAATCTGTCTGCCATATTGACTCTGGAAACTGCTCCAGGAAATGCAGCCCCCAGTGGCTTTCCTCTGTGCTGTGACATTCTGGTGGCTCACACTTTTGGTCCCTGTCGACTCTGCTGTCCTCATCTTCCCTTTACTTTGTGGCTTCTGCGGCCTGCTTTTGCTTCCTCGTGGATCCATCTTCGTCTCTCTTCCCTTTGTCCGACTTCTGGAGGAGTTGACTGCTATGCTTATTGCCTTAGATTCTAAAACCCTTCTAGAAAGCAGCTCTGATTTTTATATTTCATAACCATCATCAAGAAGAAGAGAGTGAGACCATTGGGTCAACCACCCCTTTATGGGCTACAACCTGATCCCA